CCGTCTATTGACAGTCTTGACCACCCAGAGGGACGAGAGGATTGGAGGCCATCACGACTGAAGGTTGGATTTTTAAAGTTCCTGTTCTCTTTCCATTTGTTTATACAAATACTTCGTTTCAGGCACAAATCCCCTAGAAAAATAGATGTTAAGGAAGGGTTCAAGCTCAGTGCAGGCCAGCGGGTTACAGCAGGCCCCTGTGTGTCCTGGCTCCTGGCCCGAGGTCTCCCGGGGAAATGCAGATGGAGTTCCTGAGACTGAGGACAAAAACTCCCAGAAAAGGCAGTGGGGGTTTTGGGGGGACCCTGAGCAGGGGGTCTCTGTGTGGGAAGGGGCCTTTGGCTGCCTGGTGGCCTCCCTGCCAGGCTGGAGGATCCAACTGTAGGCAACTGGGGAGCCTCTGCATTCGGAAGGGGAGAAACGTGGGGCCCTGGAGCCCATGACCGCGCTTGCTGCCTCTGTCTCCCTCCCCGGGGGTTTCTCTCTGGTCTTGATGAGCATCTTAGTCTCTGCCCACCATCTTCCGCCCCAGGCACAGTCCTGAGCCTGGGCTGAAGCCGCACAGCCAGGGCGAGAGCCCCCAATTTCCCAGCTCCGATTTGGGATCGGGAGGAGGGCACCACGAGGCGTCTGCTGGTTGGGGGTGGGGTGCTGCATGGGAAGGGGGGGATGCAGTTTGGGCAGGCATGGGGTAGGGGTGTGCGTGTGTGTGGGAGCGTGTGTGTGTGTGTGTGTATGCAGGGGAGTGTATCTGTGTGGGCGGGGTGTGCACAGAGGATGTATGCGGAGGTGTAAATGCGTGTGTATGTGGGGGAGGAATGTACCGAGCTGAATAGCGTCTTCCTAAACTTCACCCTCACCCGGAACCTGTGAAATACGATCTTTGCAGATGTAATTGTTATGATGGAGTCATACTGGAGAAGGGTGTCCTTAAAAGAGGAGGGAGGGGCCGGCTGAGTGGCACAGTGGTTAAGTTCGTGTGCTCTGCTTCAGCAGCCAGAGGTTTGCAGGTTTGGGTCCCAGGTGCAGACCTATGTACCGCTCATCAAGCCGTGCTGTGGTGGCGTCCCACATATGGAACAGAGGAAGATGGGCACAGATGTCAGCTCAGGGCCAATCTTCCTCACCAAAAATAAGAAGAAGAGGGAAATTTGGACACAGAGACACAGACACACAGGGAGGCAGAGGCTGGAGTGAGGCAACCAAAAAAGGGTTCCTGGCAGCCACCAGGAGCTGGAAGAGGCAGGAAGGGTCCTCTAGAGCCTTCAGAGGGAACGCAGCCCTGCCCACACCTGGATTTGGGGCGTCTGGCCTCCAGACTGCGAGAGAATCAATTTCTGCTGTTTTGAGCCACGAAGCTTGTGATCATTTGTTACGGCGGAATACAGCGTGTGTATGTCAGCGTGTGGGGGCGGGGGATGGTGCGAGGGAGTGTCAGCGTGCGTGAATGTGTCTGGGGTACGTGGGTGTGGGTGTGCGTGGGATGGTGTGTGCACAGGTGTCAGTGTGTGTTTAGGGGTCGGTGTGTGTGGAGATGCAGGTGGGAAGCGTGTCTGTCTGGGTGCAAATGTGTGTGCACACGTGTGTGATATGTGCATGTGGGATGCACACGTGTGTGCTTGCGTGATGTGTGCATGCAGGAGCGTTCATGTGTGGGTGTGGATTGTGTGCAAGCAATGGTGGAATCACAAGTCCACAGTCGCAGTAGGAGTTTTATGCATGTTTTTCAAAAACAAGACAACCATAGTAGCCAAAAATTAGAAGGATATAAAGGAATGAGCTGGTTCTATTTGGAAAGATCTCTTCAATATGTTGTTTATCCAATATGTCAAGATTTGGAGCCGATTACAGCGTGATCTCATTGATGTTTAAATTTATACGTGAGCACACACCCCCACACCCTTTGCATGCACATTTCTGAAAGATTACACACGGTTACAATAGTGAGAACAGAGCTGGGGTTGGTGGGGGTGGGATGGAGAGAACCTTGTATCTCTAATTTTATTCCCTTTATTGTGTTTAATTTTATCATGCACACATATTAGTTTTATACCAATTTAAAAAAAGAAGAAAAGGAAAAAAGAAAAATCAGTTTAAAAATCTGGTTACTTAACTCTCCTTGCAAAGGTATCCAGTTGGTTTCCCAATTACTGTGTCAAGTCAAATCGGCGACAGGATTAATCACTGCAAGTATTTTCAACAGAGAGAAGAAATAGTATTTAGACATCAATCCATTTATTAGGAAAATTGGAATGTGCACCAGAACTCGACAAACCTTGCAGGGGAGAAGCTTGTGTGAACTCCCTGCTACTTCCTTTTAGAAGCCTTTTTATCTCTGAGAATTCTCACAGCCTTGTCTCTTCATCTTCCCAGGCTCAGTGGCGGGGGCGACAGGATATTCTTAGATCCAATTGTCGTAAAGTGGACGGCCCGCGTCACTCCCGCTCTCACGGTGAGTCAGAGCCGCGCGCTCGCTGTGGGAGGGAGACGGGCGCTGCCTCGGGTTTGGGAAAGGAGGCACCTGTCCTCACTGCTAGGTGCCCTCTCGTAGGGTCTCAGCTCCTTCCCCAGGGCCACACCACCCTATGGTCACCAGGAAAATATAAACCTGGGCTCGAACTCTGGGCCTGCGTTTAATGGGGTGGGGTGTGGGCAAGTCTCCTGACAGATGGTGATGGTCATCCCGCCTGGGGGCTCTGCTCAAACACCCCCCCACCGTCCCCCGAGCCTGTCCTATCACCCTGGACCTCTTCCCTCAGTGTCCTTGTCACTCCCAGACCCACTGCGTATTGTCTGTGGTTCATCTCCCCCTGGAGACCAGAGCTCCACGGAGGCAGCATTTGCCCTTTTTCTTCTCACTGTCACACCAGAGTGTCTGCAAGAGCGCCTTGGACACGCCTGGCGGGGACATGACCACTAGCTGGGGCCCACATCCCCACTGCCTGGCCTTGAGCTCGTGTGGCCCAGAGCCTGGTTCTCCCACACGAAGCGGGCAGGAGAGACGCCCGTGCACGGGGCTGGACCCTCTCAGCTGACAGAGAAGGAAGTAGAAGAAGCGTGTGGACGCGCTGACCCTTCCCAGGGGTCGGCACGAAGGTCCAGAACAGGACTGCTGGCTCCACGCGCCGTCACGCCCATCGTGCTTTTCCTCTCCTCTTTCCACGTAACGCTCCCTTCCTGGCGCAGAAGCTGACAGTGTGGGGGCTTCTCACTCACTCGGGGACTCGGCTCCCAACCGCCTCAGAAGCAGCTTGCTTGCCACCTGTTGAAGATGAAGCCGCCGAGGCCCAGAGAGTTTGCACAGGTAGCCGGGACGCGGGGTCCGAAGTGGCCCAGCTGGGGAGGAAGGCCAGAGGCACGAGGACACAAGTCCCATCCTGGGGCTCCCACAGAGGAGTGGTCTCCCCTGCCCACGAGCCCTGGTCTCCACGAGCTGCAGCCCGGGGTGGAGGTAACAATGTCTGAATTGAGTAAAAGACAGTGGCGATGTGTGTAACAGAGGGAAGGGACCCGGGCCATGCACACACACCCCGGGGGGCGCTGATTAGAGCAGGAATCAAGAGGACACACCCTGAGGATGGGACCTTTGGGCTCAGAGCTCAAGGCTGAGATGCAGGGGGCGGGAGCAGGCCTTCCGGCCAGTAATGTGAGCCAGAGCGAGGGGGAGAGTCCACCCCAGCCACAGACTCATTACAGAACCAGGGCCCCCTCCGGTCATGACAAGCCCTGGTGCTAACACAATGCAGACATGGACCCCACAAACACTCACAAGGTGGCCAGGGTCAGATTCGGAGCCCCCACCCGTCACTGGGGCCTCGAGGGCACAGCCAGACGGAACCCCACTCACTCGTTTGCAGGGACTGCTGCCCCGGCGCCCTCGTCCCTTGTCCCTCACCCCCCCATCAGGATATGACTCGCGTGCAGTTTTGTCCTCACAGATGCTGGGAGAGCTCCACGCTGAATTCACGACGGGGCAGAGCAGCGGCTTCGAGGAAGGAGAGCCCAGCGGGGCAGGAGGACGAGCTCGCCCTGCCCGGGTGCCACCCACACAGAGAGCCCCCAGCCTCTCTGAGAGGAGGCGCCTGTCCCGTTTGGCTCGGGCAGCAGTAACAAACGGCCACAGGCTGACGGCTTGAACAACAGACGTTCGTTCTCTCACAGTCTGGGGGCTGGACATCCGAGATCCGGCTGTCTCAGGGCTGGTTCCTCTGAGGGCTCGCTCCTCGGTGTGTAGACACCGTCTTCTCCCTGTGTCCTCGCATGGTCGAACCTGTGCGTGTGTCTGCGTCCCCATCCCCTCTTCTCATAGGGACCCCAGTGAACGGGATTAGGCCACCCTGGTGACCTCAGTTTACCTGAATCACCTCCAAACATAGACACATTCTGGGGTCCTGAGAGTTAGGAATGTGAATTTGGGGGCACATTTCAGCCCATAACAACCCCAAACCCCATTTCCTGAGGCTGAGGACGGGGTCAGGGGCCGCCTCTCCAACTCCAGCCCACTGCCCTGCTGGCCTCACTCCCCCACGGGTGGGCGGAGAGGCCGTGGGCATGTCTGGAAGTTTCTGGAGTGTAGATCACCAGCTCCCAGGGCCATAGCAGGCTCGCAGGAGGGTGCTAGAAATTTCCCAGCAGCTCAACCAGCCGCGCCCAAGGTTCCTCCCAGCACCGCAGCCAGGAGGCCAGGAACAAGGGCAGGAGCCCAGAGCCCCGTGCAGACACCTCTGCTGTGGACCAGACAGTCCCAGGTCACATCTTCACGGTCTGGGTGGGGGTGGGGACTGTGCCCGGGTCCCAGGACTTCAAAGGTCCAGCCCACGTGTGCCACTCCCACCGCCTGGGCCCACCGCCCCTCCCCACCACACGGCTGCGTCCCCTCCACACGGGCGCCCCTGCCCTTCACACGCCCTGTGTCCCCTCTGAGCTCCTGCATCCAGCCCGGGCTCACATCAGTGTCTGAATGACTTTTAAAATCGTAAGAGAAACAAAGAACTTTGAGATTGAAGTAATATTTTCATTTATAGTATTAATACGTTGGTCTTCACGTCAGCACGGTTGTTACAAAGAATATTTCCCAGTTTTTACGGAGGGCGCCCAGGAAGGTAGGAGGGCCCTTGGGGGTCAGGGGGCCCCACACCCCATCAGCCCCTCGTGTGTCCTGGCAGCCTGGGCCCCGGGGGTCCCAGGGTGTCTGCTGGCAGGACCCTCACCCCTAGCTCCCAGGTTCCCACACTAGGCAGGAGCCCAAAGCCACGTGTCGAATTGAGTTTCTTCAATTCCTATTGAACTGAGTTTGGGAAAGGCTTCTGATTCTGAGAAATTCCCCTGGGAACAGGCCACAGCTGCCCCTTCTCACCTGAAAAAGGTGCAAATCACTTGCTGGTCCCAGGGGAGAGGTGGGCACAGCTGGCGGGCCCAGAGCTGGGGACTCTGAGCAGAGCCAGTGGGTGGGGGGCCCGGGCTCCCCCAGCCTTAGGGGAGGAAGGGGTGCTGGGGGAGGTCTGGGGGCAGCTAATGAGCAGGGGCGTCTGCAAGGAGACCCTCCAAGGAGCCCTCCCGGGGCAGCTCCACCCTGTCTGGGGAGATTTAGGACCACAGCCCAGGAGGAAGGCAGGGCAGGCGGGCGGGCATGTGGTCTCCCGGGAGGGGCCAGTGGGGTGTCCTCTGAACAGGCCTGTGCTTTCGGGCACCCAGCCTGCCCCTGAAGCCTCCGATTCTGGAAAGCCGCTTCCCCCGCCCACTGGGGCTGCCGAGCAGGAGGACGGTGCCTGTCCCCCTGTGCTGTCCCTTTGGGCAGAGCTCCACTCGGGGAGAAAGTCGCCTTGGCAGAGACATGAGGGCAGCAGACTGTGCGCGCATTTCTGCATCTAAGAGGGAAACACAGCCAGCCAGGCTCTGGCAGGAAGGCAGTCCGCCCCCTACTACGCAGCGGTGGGGTCACGCTGCAGTTCTCCTGGCCCACAAAGGCCGTCAGAGATGCTGATCCAGCTCACAGATCCACTTTACCGGAAGAAGCAAGGACGACGGCAGAGCTCCCAGCACACGAGGTGCTGACTCACCAGGGGACATTTGGAGTCGTGCAAAAAGCCTTAATGTGTGGCCCTGCGTCCGGCCCAATCTGATCCAGTCTGAGAGGCTGGAACTGACCCTCGGTCTCGCATCCTCAGGGAGCCCAGGCTGGGACACTCTGTGCTCCTCCTTCACCCGCGCACAGAACACTGCGCCTGTGACATTTCCCACCCCAAAGGTCGGGGTTTCGCCCACACTAAGCAATTCTCCGACACCACCGGGTGCCCTACAATTCAATTCGGTTCTGACACCATCTGCCTGTGGAGTAGATAGCAGCGGATCCCGCAGGTTAAGGGCTCAGCCCCACAAAACTGCTCCCCACTTGAGACGCCAATTGCAAGCCTAGGTTGTCGCCTGTGCTTCTGAAGGACCCTCTACAAATCGGAGGTTCCCACGACCCCTTCCTCGGTTCAATTAATTTGCTAGAGCAGCTCCCAGAACTCAGAGAAACATCTGTGTTTACTGGTTTACTATAGAATAAAGGATACAGAAGAACAGCCAGATGCAGAGACACACAGGGTGAGATCCAAGAGGGTCTTGAGCTAGGAGCTTCTGTCCCCTTGGAGATGGGGTGTCACCCTGCAGGTATTTGGATGTGCTCACCAGCCTGGAAGCTCCCTGAACCCCGTGCTATTGGGGTTTTATGGACGCTTCCTCACGTCGACATGATCAACCCTTACCTCCATTTCCAGCCCCTCTCCCCTCTCTGGATCATGGCTCCACCGAGGAGCCCACCCAGGATCACCTCACTAGGACAAAAGACACTCCCATCACCCAGGAAAGCACAGGGATTTCAGGAGCTCTGAGGCAGGAACCGGGGGCAGAGACAATGTGTTTACTTTTGGTCATTTCACATCAGGCCCCTTTGCGGGGTGGAGTCCCAGGACATCATCTCTCGTTCCAGGCTCTGGACCAGCCCCTGGGGGATGCAAGGGGCATCCCACCCCACCGGAAAGGCTGACCAGCCTGAGCAGAGGGCCCAGCGGGGCTCCAGGGGCCCCACCAGCCCTCCTGCCCTGATGCCAACAAGACAAATCTGCAGCCCAGGACCCATGAAACCAGGAAGCTTCCTCCTTGTCCCAGAGATCCCAGCCAAGCTGCTCCACCACCTAACAAGCCCAAAGACCCCACAGGCCCCCACAGGACTCCCCAGGCACGGGTGGATTCCGGTCCTTTGTCTTGGGGGTTAGAGCTGAGCTCTATCACAGTCAGCGCAAGGAGTGGGACCTGCTTTCCTGGAAGGGGCAGGGGGGCAAAAAGTGAGCGGGGGTCTCCAGGAATGGGGAGGGAGCTTTCTTGTCGTCGAAGAGAGGAGGACAGGAACAAGGGACAAAAAGACACTGCCACTTGTGGAAGGTGGAGAACCCAGCCAGCTTACATTTCCAGCAGATGGAGGATGGCGCAAGACACAATTAGCTAATGGGATACGGGACAGGCGCGACTCGGGCGCTGCGTGAGGGGCCGGGGATCAATGGAAGCGCTGTGTCTGAAATGTAAATCAGCACGAAAGACTCCCCATCGATTGCAGAGAAGCCCAGCAATGACCCCAAAGCCCCGTTCACAGTGCCCAGCCACAGGGCTGGCCTGGACAGACGGACGGACAAGCTGGGCTCAGTCGGGATGCACCAAGGGGGGCACAGGAAGTGGCTGGTTATGTGCTGCCTGCTCCCAGCCTGGAATTCACAGGGAAGAAACCCTGTTCCCTCCCTCCCCTAGGGGCCCCCATCCTGAGACCACCCATCCTCGCCCAGCCCCCCGCTGTGCATTCCCCAGAGCTGAGGGCCAGGGACAAGCAGAAAACCAAGGGCCTCGTACATTTCTGCAAACCCAGTGGCCCAGGCTTGGCAGGGCACTTGGTGGGGTGGGGGGTACGAGGATTCACACTCACCCCAAACTTCAAGGCCCTGTCTCACTCACATCTCACCACGACGACCCACAGAGCCGCCACCCCGTCCCCTGTGGGAGGGTCCCTCTTGCCAGGAGCCAGCTTCCGTTTGTGCCTGAAAGAGGACTCCATGGGGGCCGATCTGTGGCAGTGGGTGTCGGGACTCTATGTGCAGGGGTTCACCGGGGTGCCTGCCTGTCTCAGGGGGACACTGAGGGGTCTGTCTGTCTTTGAGAGATGTTGGGTGCCTGCCTGTCTCAGGGGGACACCAAAGGGTCTGTCTGCATGGAGAGAACTTGGGGTGTCTGCCTGTCTCAGGAGGACACCAAGGGGTCCGTCTGCCATGGAGAGACGTTGGGGTGTCTTCCTGTCTCAGGGGGACACCAAGGGGTCCGTCTGCCATGGAGAGACGTTGGGGTGTCTGCCTGTCTCAGGGGGACATCGAGGGGTCGATCTGCATGGAGAGATGTTGGGGTGTCTGCCTGTCTCAGGGGGACACCAAGGGGTCCGTCTCCATGGAGAGACGTTGGGCGTCTGCCTGTCACGGCGAGGGCACTGAGGTCAGGCCCCGGGCTCAGAGAACGAGGTCTGGCTCCCCGCAGTGTGTCTGAGCGACGCCGCCCCTCCCACACGGGGGTGGGGCAGTTCAGATCTCTGCTGCCCACACGCTCGCAGTCACAGGAGCCAGAAGCGGGTCACACAGGGTGCGTCTGGGGCAAGGAGGGGTGGGAGGCCTGAAATGCAGGTTCCCAGGCCCGGAGCCGCACTGTCAACAAGCCTTCCCCGCGGGGTCCCCCGGGGGGCTCTGGCACACCAGCTTTGCGGAGGACGAGGCAGAACGGCGGGGGTGCCTGCCCCCCCGCCCGCGGCTCAGGGCTTTTAGGGGACAGGTCCTCTGGGACTCAGGAGTAGGCGAGCCCCCCGCCCTGCGCCGGATGAAGAAGAAGAAGCATGCGCAGTGCGGAGCCCCGCTCGCCGAGATCGCAGACGGCAGCTGTATTTCCGTCGGCCGCGATGAAGACGGTCCACGCAGCCTCTCGGAGATGGCCGGGGCCGACGGACCAGCGCGGCGCGGAGCGCTGGAATGCAGCGCGCGTCTCCCACGGCGGGAACCTGGAAAGCCCACCCAGGGGAGGAAACGAGGATGCTCGTCGCTGGGGCGGGGTTGGCTGGAAGTCTGTTCCTGGAATTGGACGGTGGTGCGCGTGTGCATGGGGTCGTCAGGCTCAGCAGCGAGCGCCCAAGGCCTGATGCGCTCCGCCGCGCGCTGATCGCCACTTCAGTTCCGCGGATCTGCACAAAATTCTGTGAACCAGGCTCCCGTCCCGCCGCCTCCTGCAGACCGTGCGCGACCCAGTCTTTGCCACCAGGTGTCGCCTGGAAAACGGGTCCCCACGGGCACCCGGAGGTGAAGGCGTGTCCCTGCTCAAACGCATTTGGGGAACCTGAGGCTAAGGGGGTGCACGCTGCTTGCCTGTAAGGCCCTGACCCCAAAGCGATGATCGCTGGACACGGAGGCGCGGCGTCTCCACCGGCGCCCGCGGGAGGCGGGTTTCTTTCCGGAGCGGCTGGCGCGGCGGGGCGGCTGTGCGCGCCGGCCCTTCTTTCTCCTCTTTGTTCGGAAATGAGGCCCAGGAGGCGGGGGCTTCCCACGGCGCACAGAAAGGGCAACGGAGACGTAACGGCCGAATGTGTGCCCCACGCCCGGAGGTGTCGTCGCCTCGCGGAGCAGCGCATGGGGACGAGCGGGCCGGTGCCGCTTCTGGAAAGGCGCTGCCCCTCGTCGACCGCTGAGCGGGGCCCCTGCCATCCCGCTGCCCTCGTCGTCCTTGGGGCCCCTGTCATCATGCGGAAGCCCGCAGGACAGGTCTGCCTCGCTGCCTCTCACATCCCTGATGGGCGTCCAGTGCGCAGTATCAGGAGGACAGACAGAAGAGGGAGAAGCCATCCCTCTGGCCAGTGTCCGGAGCACCAGGCCCTCAGAGTGTTTAGGAAACTGCCCCCTGCAGACCCGCCCGCCCCCCCACCCCCCCGGTGGCCAAGCCCTCCTTCTCCCGTGAAGCACCAGCATTTGGTGGTTTTCTCTCTCCCTCAGAAAAAGGATGGAAATAGAAGCTGTGACTGTTGCTGTCGCTGTCAGATGGTCACGGCAGGATCTCTGCACGCCTTCTGGCAAAGATAAATGTAACATCACCGACAGCAAACACACAGTCGTGCTCACCAGCCTGTGATAGACGGGTACGAATCATGGTGCCAGAGACATGGGGACGCAGGGACGCCGACCAGTGGCCTCCAGGTGGGCTCGGGCCACCATCCCCACTGTCCCCTCGGCTCCCTCACAGGGTGTGGGACTCTGCCGCAGGACTGTGGCCAGGGCTGTGCCTGCTGCCCCCCGCACCGGTGGCTGACGGTGGGAAGGACCTGACTATGGGCGGAGGCTGAGGTCCTGGTTGTTTAGGGCCAGGAAGACCACCCTGGGACAGAGACGGGGCCTAGGATGAGGATGGGGCATGGACTGGGATGGGGACAGAGATGGGGCCTGGCACAGGGCCCAAGGCAGGTGGCCTGGAATGCCACCCTGCTTCCTTCATTTCATTGTCCTGGAAGGACACATGGGCAGCACACTGTCCCTTCCCAGGCCCAAGGTGTGAAGCTGCCAGCCTCCCACTCAGGAGGAGACTCAGCCAATGACCAAGGCCTGTGGCAGCCGAGCAAACAGAAAGCACAAGAGGGGAGAACCCCCTGCAGACCACCGAGGCCTCGTGAGCCAGCAGTCAGAGAGGACCCCAGCACAGAAAGGCGAGAGGACCATCAGGAGGAGGTGCAGACAGATGGAACCAGAGCAGAAAGTCAGGAGAAAATGAGGGAGGGAGATGGAGGGGGGAGCAGGTGGGGTTCCAGAGAAATCCAAATGCAAGAGTTGGGGGGCACTGTGGGAACCAGACCTCCAGCTGCGTGATCCCCCGCCCCGAGCAGAGGAGCCGTAAACCCGTGGACGAGGAGATGCAAGCCCACACAAGCAAGGATCCTTGACGCCTTTGGGGAATCAACCAAAACAATTAAATGGAAGAGAAAATAATCAAACACATACCTGGAAATAGTCCCCTGGGCTGAGACAGGATGTGCTCACGCAGGGTGAACGTGGGCTGAGTGGCTCCGGCGCAGCAAAGACTGCAGCCGGATGCCGGAATGGGTTCAGATGGCAGGAGCTCTGAAGACCACAGGGAGCGCTGAAGACAGGGAAGCTGCTGGAGGAAGACGAGAGCTGGCCCACAGAGGCGAGGCTGGCCCGGCGGGCTCTCCCCCGACGTGTGTGCGGCCTGGGCACCTGTGCAGGGGCTGGACATGGAGACCCCTTGGCGCCTGGCACTCCCTCCTGGCTGGGGACCCACAAGTGGCCCAGCGTCTTCTCCAGGCTCGTCTCCTCCTCTGAAGATGGAGGTGATGATAGTTCTGATCTCATGACACTGCAGGGAAGATGAAGTGAGTCACTGCCTGTGAGGACTGTGGCACCGTGCCTGTCACACAGCAGATGCTTCCCACTCTGGGGCCAGTCACCTTATTATTATGTGGCTGTCCTTTGTAGGAATGAACCAATACAAAGTCAACTTCCACAATCTGAGTTTTCTCCAGTTCTAGAAAATGTACTTCCCAGGGCTGGTGTCAGACGGGACACTTTAATTTTCTAGAAACAGAATGCCCAACTCCAACTGGCTTGAACATGAATTTGTTAATACGTATTGACTCTCGTAACTAGACAGTCCAGAGGTAGGGCAGGCTTCAGGTGTGATCAGGTTTCCAGTCGCATCTCAACAAATATCTGTTTATGCAGTCCTCCACCTGTCAGTCTTATCCTCAGGGCAGCTTCCCTCATGGTGTCAAAGTAGCTGCAGTAGTTCCAGGCTTCACACCCACACACCACACTGGGAGGGAGAGAGAGAACAAGCTACTATCCCAGACTTACCAGTAGAGACCATGAAACTGCCCTGTGGTTGAGGTGGAAGCCCACTCCTGAACCTGGGGCCAGTGGGAGGGCAATTCTGATTCAGCTAATCAGAGCACCACCCTTGCTGGCGAGGGGTGAGTGTCCCCAACATGGGCTGCTTGGGGGAGGGTGGAAACCCAGCCAAAATCAGGGTAGTTACCAAATGGTAGGGGGAAGGTGGTTGGGCCAGCAAACCCAGAGTCCGTGCAGTGCAGCCTCCTGCCCAAATAAGATCACAGGAATCCAGCTGGGCTCAGCTGCCAGGCCTGGGGCAGGGCCTTGCCTCCTCCAGCAGTCCATCCTCAGTGTCTGTCCTGTCCCAGGACCGGGAGTCATTCTCAAACCGCGTCCTTCACCCCGGAGTTCACGTCAAATCTCCTGCCTCTGCTTGAAGCAGCCCCGGGCAGCTCCGCTCCAGCCCGTGCCCAGACGGCAGACCTGTGACTCCGACACGGCTGCCCAGTTCTCGCTGGGAGAGGTCTCACTTGTTCTCCCTGGAAACAAAGCTGCAGGGACCCACGTAAGACTCACCCCTGCCGGTGTTTTTTGTTTTGCAACTTTTATGTCATAGAAAATAAGCCGTCCCTTCTTTTTAACTTTATAAATCACCAAATCAGGGTCCAAGGAGCCCTAGAATGCTCAACTTGAAGGGAACCCTCAACTGCAGGGGAGGGAAGGTTGGGGCCCAGAGAGAATAAATTATGTCCCCAAGGTCAGGAGCAGCAGTGGTAGAACCGAATCTCACCCCAAACGGACTCATTAACACGGACCTCCAGGCATAGAGCACCTCAGGAGTCCAGGCGCCCGTCACATGCACAGTTTCCTTCACGGTCAGACGAGGAAGGAGCGTGTGCTTCAGACAGGAGCACGGCTGGGATGCCACACGCTCTTTTGGTGAACGAGGTGAACACACACTCCAATTAGCGTGTCAGCCCTCGGAGTCCTGCTGGTCCCAGCTGCCCGGGACGTAGGCGGCCGGAGCTCACAAAGCGGATGGAGTGCAGGGTCTGGTCGTCACCGAGGCTGAGACCTTCCCGGGACGCCCGCCAGTTCCTGCCCTGGCAGCCGTGTGAGCCTGGCCACCAGAGCGAGGAGGCCCATTTGACAAATTAAAGATGATGAAGGGAAAAGTCTCTGGAAATTTCCGTCCGAGTCGGGGACCAAATCTGGTCGCCCCCCAGCAGGATGCAGGCAGCTGTCTTCCTGCCAAGAAGCTCAGCGGGGTGTGTTTCCACTGGGCCGGCGAAGGAAAAGTCAGCTCTCAGCGCCGTGTTGTTGTTTAGACCTGAGACATGTTCAAAGACAGGATTCGGAAGACGTGTTTGTCCTAAAAATTGTGACTTGCTCCATCTGAGCCGTTTGCTGTGCGACGAGACTGCGTGAAATTTAATCAGGTCCCATGACACCGCCTCTGCGGGTGTTTGCCCCTTTAAATTGTTATGTATGTTTGCAGATTTGGACATTTTCAAAGTACATTTATCATTGTAAAATCCGGAAAGAACTTTGACACACTCTTGAGGTAAATGCAAGAGGGCACGCTGTGGTCTGTGGCTGCCCCCTCGCCTGGAGCACCCACAATTCACAGATTTTACCAACTCCCCAGGATTCCGATTTCTTAGATTGCCATGTGTTTTTCCCTGCGGCGTTATTGGGAACACAGATAAAATGCACACATTTAAACTGGGCGATCTCATACATACGCACCTGCGAAACCATCACTAAAATCAGGGCCCTGAAGGTGTTCACCCCAGGCTGCTCCCTGCCCCTTGTGATCTCGCGTCCCAGGCGACCGCTGGCCTGCTTCCCCTCCCTGTTAGGCTGCATTTCCCAGGCGCTCCTGTCAGTGGGGCCATCAGCCTGCACACCTTCTGGTCGGGGTCGTGACGTGACTCAGCAGGGTTACCCTGGGACCCCACGTGGCTGTGTGGTCTGGTCGTTCCTCCAACTGTGCCCCGTCCTCCTCTGACGCACCTGGTCATGGGCATCGGGGTCAGCTCTGGTTTTGGGCGATGACAAATAGGCTGCTAGGACCGTTTGCTTTTGTTTCTCCTGGGCAAGCGCTGGGAGTGGAGCAGCTGGTCAGGCGGAAGGCGGCTCTCTAACTTTTCAAGAAAATGCCCATTTCTCAAAGCAGCTGTGTCTGTTCTGGCCCCACCACAGTGGGGGCCGTCCCAGCCACTCCCCCTCCTTGCCCACCCCTGGCGCTCCGTCATCTTCATTCTGTTTTCATTCCCGCCGTCCTGCTCGGGGTGGAGGGCTCACTCTGGGGTTTAGTCTGTGTCTGTCTCCCCAGGGAATAATGACACCTTTTCATGTGCTTATTTGCCAGAGGTAAAATCTTTGCTGGATTTTTTCCTAATATGGATTTTTCTTTTCTAAAAAAATAAGCTTTCTTTTTATAACAGTTTTAGATTTATACAGAGATTGTAAAGAAAACACAAAGATTTGCCACACCAATTGCACTCAGTTTTCCCCCTTTTTAAACATCTTGCATTAGTATAGTACATTTGTTACCATTAATGAACCAATATTGATATATTGGTACTAACTAAGGCCCATGCTTTATTCAGATTGCCTCGGTTTTTCCTAATGTCCTTTTCTGTCGGGGACTCCATGCAGGACTTTACATGACATTCAGTCATCACGTCCCCTCCGCTCGCCCCTGGGCTGTGACAGTGTCTCAGACTTTTCTTGCTTTTGATGACTGTGACAGTTTTGGGAGCACTGGTCAGGCATTTTTGGGGTGCCCCTCAGTTAGGATTTGTATGATGGTTTCTCCTGGTGGGACTGGGGTCGTGGGTGGTGGGAGGAAGACCACAGAGGTGAGGTGCCCTCTCACCACCTCACACCCAGGGGGCGTGCCGTCCACGTGGCCTGTCACTGTGGGTGTGGGCGTGACCCTTGGCGGAGGGGCGTCTGTCAGGTGTCTCCACTCGACATCCCTCCGTCCCCCCACTGTCCTCTGTGGGAGGAGGCGCCCGCACAGCCCACCCCTAGAGAGAGCGCAGGCGGGCTCCCTCCCTGAGGACGGAGGAGCCACGTAAGCCATCTGCACCCTCCTCAGAGATGGACTCTTCCCCCGTTTACTCACCAGTCATTACGTCAGCCAGACTCCTGGACATTCTCTCACCCTTAGGGCCATAACCCAGCACGACGTTACTCTGGTGCTGAAACTGTTCCGGCTCCGGCCCCTGGGAGCTCTCAGGGCGGCTCCTGGGTCCCTCTGATGCACCCCGTCTGTGTGGAGTTTTTTGGTGTTTTGTATTTTTTATAGCACTTCCTTACTTTCTGGCACCACAAGATGCTCCAGGCTCATCTTGGGCATTTCCTGCCCTAGTCCTGGATCAGCCGTTTCTCCAAGGAGCCCTGGTTCCTTGCACTGAAATAAGGTGTTAGAGACCAAGATCTGGGCACTGGGTGTGCTCATTGCTGCTGGGTGTTGTTGCTGCTGGACCCTCTCAGCTGACAGAGAAGGAAGTAGATGTGTGTACGTTAACTCACGCGTGTGCACATACCTGAAATACGTCCATACATCGCCATCTGTGTCTACATTAAGCCAGACATTTGCAGCTCCAATTCCTCACCAGGTGGATCATCCAGCCTCCTCCCCTGGCTTATCAGCGACCTCCCGCTCTGACAGTGAGACACCTGGCTCCCGGCATCTGCCATCCACTCACTTCTCTGTTCAGTCCCAGTGTCCATGTGCAGCAGTCCCAGAATTGTTAATCATACTCCCGGGAAACGACCTTGTCACCTTACGTACCGTTTCTTTTGCCTTTAGTCTCACAGACTGACTCATCTTCAAAACTGGTTATTTCTAAAGGCTCCCACCCTCTTTATAAGGGTGCTTTATACACTTGTGAGCCAGGTAGATCGTTTTGTCACATTCCGGATCTCACATTCTGAGATCCCCCACCTCCTAAATGGTTTTAAATTTGCACACAATAAGGTGTGTGCTCTTTTGCTGTAAAGTTCTTTGGGATTTTTTCCTTTTTTAAGATTGGCCCTGAGCTGACATTGCTGCCAATCTTTCTCTTTTTTTTTTTTTCTCCCCAAAGCCCCAGGACATAGTTGTATATCCCAGTTGTAAGTCCATCTAGTTCTTCTATGTGGGACGCCACCACAGCATGGCTTGATGAGCAGTCTGTATGTCAGCGCCCAGAATCCAAACCGGTGAACCCCAGGCCACCAAAGTGGAGTGTGTGAACTTAACCACAATGCCACCGGACCAGCTCCCTATGGGCTTTTGACAAATGCATAATGTCATGCATCCACCATTACCATTTCATACAGAGTAATTTAAGCACTCTGAAAAGTCCCATGTGCTTCACCATCCCATCCCCAGCCCTCCTCACGAACTCCTGGCAAGTTCCATGTGGTTGTGAATGGGACAGTTTTGTCTTTTTTATGGCTGAGTAGTATTCCATTGTATATACACACTACATCTTCTTTACCCATTCATCAGTCGATGAGCACCTGGGTTGCTTCCATGTCTTGGCTGTTGTGAATAATGCTGCAGTGAACATAGGAGTGCATAAGTCTCTTTGAATTGTTAATTTCAAGTTCTTTGGACAGATACCCAGTAGTGAGATATAGCTGGGTCATATGGTATTTCTATTTTTAATTTTTTGAGAAATCTCCATACTGGTTTCCATAGTGGCTACGTCAGTTTGCATTCCCATTAGCAGTGGATGAGGGTTCCCTTTTCTGCCCAGCCTCTACAACGTTTGCTATTTTTTTCTTGGTGATTGTAGTCATTCTAATGGGTGTAAGGTGATATCTTAGTATAGTTTTGATTTGCATTTCCCTGATGATTAGTGATGTTGAGCATCTTTTCATGTGCCTATTGGCCATCTGTATGTCTTTTTTGGAAAAATGTTCATATCCTCTGCCCATTTTTTGATTGAGTTGTTTATTTTTTGTACTTCATTTGTGTGAGCTCTTTACGTATTACGGAGATTAACTCGTTATCGGATATATAATTTGCAAATATTTTCTCCCAGTTGGTGTTGTTTTTTTATTTTGATCTTGGTTTCCTTTGCCTTACAGAAGCTCTTTAGTCTGATGAAATCCCACTTGTTTATTTTTATCTTTTGTTTCTCTTGTCCAAGGAGGCATGGTATTCAAAAAGATCCTTTTAAGTCTGATGTCAAAGAGTGTACTGCCTAGATTCTCTCCAAGAAGTTTTATGGTTTCAGGTCTTCCCTTCAAGTCTTTGGTCCATTTTGAGTTAATTTTTGTGTGTGGGGGAAGATAATGGTCTACTTTCATACTTTTGCATCTGGCTGTCCAGTTTTCCAAGCACCATTTGTTAAAGAGGCTTTCCTTATTCCAGTGTATGTTCTTGGCTCCTTTGTCGAAGATAAGCTGTGCAGAGATGAGTGGTTTTATTTCTGGGCTTTCAATTCTGTTCCATTGGTCTGTGTACTTGTTCTTGTTCCAGTACCATGCTGTTTTGATTACTATAGCTTTGTGATATATTTGAAGTCAGGGATTGCAATGCCATCAGCTTTGTTGTTGTTTTTCAATCTTGCTTTGGCTATTCAGGGTCTTTTGTTGCCCCAGATGAATTTTACGCTTCTTTGTTCTATTTCTGTGGAGAATGTCATTGGAATTCTGATTGGGACTGCATTGAATCTGTAGATTGCTGTAAGTAGTATAGACATTTTATGTTTATGTTTATTCTTCCAATCCATGTACATGGAATATCTTTCCATTTCTTTATGTCATTATCGATTTCTTTCAGTAATGTCGTGCAGTTTTCTTTGTATAGGTCTTTCACCTCCTTAGTTAAATTTATTCTGAGATATTTTATTCTTTTTGCTGTGATTGTATTCTTGAGTTCTTGTTGTATTAGTTCATTATTTGAGTATAGAAATGCTACTGATTTTTGTAAGTTGATTTTGTACCCTGCAACTTTTCTGTAGTTGTTGATTGTTTCCAATAGTTTTCGGATGGATTCTTTAGGGTTTTCTCTATATAAAATCATGTCATCTGCAAACAGCGAGAGTTTCACTTCTTCACTCCCTATTTGGATTCCTTTTATTTCCTTCTCTTGCCTAATTGCTCTGGGCAAAGCATCCAGTACTATGTTGAATAAGAGTGGTGGGAGTGGGCATCCTTGTCTTGTTCCTGTTTTCAGAGGGAGAGCGTTCAGTTTTTCCCCATTGAGTATGATGTTGGCTGTGGGTTTGTCATATATGACCTTTATTATGTTGAGGTACTTTCTTCTATACCCACTTTATTGAGGTTTTTATCATGAGTGGCTGTTGGATCTTGTCAAATGCTTTCTCTGCATCTATTGAGATTACCATGTGGTTTTTGTTCCTCATTTTGTTAACGTGGTGTATCACATTGATTGATTTGCAGATGTTGAACCATCCCTGCATCCCTGGTATAAATCCCACTTGATCACGGTGTATGATCCTTTTAATGTATCGCTGTATTCAGTTTGCCAATATTTTGTTGAGGATTTTTGCATCTATGTTCCTCAGTGATATTGGCCTGTAATTTTCCTTCTTTGTGTTGTCCTTGTCAGGCTTTGGTATCAGGGTGATGTTGGCCTCGTAGAATGTGTTAGGAATACTTCCATCTTCCTCAATTTTTTTGAATAGTTTGAGAAGAATGGGTAATAAATCTTCTTTGAATGTTTGGTAGAATTCTGAAAAGCCATCTGGTCCTGGACTTTTATTTTTGGGGAGGTTTTTGATAACTCTTTCAATTTCTTTACTTGTGATTGGTCTATTCAGATTCTCTATTTCTTCTTCATTCAGTCTTGGGGGATTGTAAGCGTCTAAGAATTTATCCATTTCTTCTATGTTGTCCAGTTTGTTGGCATATGGTTTTTC